CCAGCCTTGGAGGGGATTACCTATCGCACCAATACCAGCCTTGGAGGAGATAACCACATCGCACAATGCCAGCCTTGGAGAGGATTACCTAGCGCACCACAACTCCCAGTTCTGGCATGGTGTGTCATTCCTCTTCCTTCAGTCACTGACAGCACTGCTTTGAGTTTATTCCTACGTTTATAAACTAAAGATCATTACATTTCAGGCTACGTGAGCAGCAGATACTATTAATTTGGGAGATACTAATTAGTTCAGAGCCGTGAACTAACAATAACTAATCTTCCTTATTTGCCCACTAAAGGCAGCACCCCCAACCCAGATATATGCCAGGAAAGGACAAACATAAAAACTAGATGGCAAAGTTAATTTTCCTGAAAATGAATTTAGAATTATGTGCAAAACAAGGACTTGCTTCAGTTACCACATTTAAATACCGCTTTTAAAAATCCTCAGGAGACCACAGTTATACATTGTCCTGTTGACCCCAAGAAGATCCAGAAATATAAAGCAAAGACAACAAGAATCCCACGTTTTAAAAACAAGCAAGCTCTTGGCTTCTGGAATCTTCTTCCTGCACAAGTGTAACTTCACAGCAAAGAGAGTTCAATTTTTCAAATTTCTACAAAAGCATTGTAGCAAGCATTGGTTAATTTGGTTTTAGTAGTCTCGGTGTTCGATCAGCTCTGTTTGAGTCTATACAACTGTAAGCAAACTAAGAAGAGGGATTTTTTTGTCCACTTGCTTCGGCTTCTGGCATTCTGAGAGATGACTCCATGAAAATACTTCTAAGAAAATGACAATTAAAAATAAGACTAATTATCTCGATTATGGAGGAACAACCTGTTTTCTCTTGCCACGAGGATTTAGTGGAATTCCTCAAAGCAATGTGCCTTTAGGGGTGGGGAAGCAATGGCTGGAGGCCGCAGAGCAGAAGCACATCTGTTTTCACTTTCAGATTGGGAAAGGTGAACTGGTTCTTATGGGTCCACCCTCTAAAGATGCTTACCAATGCTTATATTAGTACTATGGCCGTCTAGCAAGGACTTGAAGTGTATATAACACGCTACTTCAGACTGCCGTTCATGTTCTGGATTTATACGCAGACGAAGAATTCAAAGCCAAACCACACTTTAGTAAATTCTCCCTTGACTGCACACAGGAAAGAGTTCCATTTTAAAATTCCTTTTTTCTTGATGGCCAGATTTAGCAGGCAAAAAAGTTAGTCTCTTTGCATTTTCAAAATCATTCTTATTTGAGTATTTTATATGTACTGTTAGACATAAAAATAAACATTAATGTTTGGAATAATTTCAGTAAGAGGTTTATCTATAAAAATCCATGTAATGCGTACGTGAGATTTGTTGACTACGTAAAACAAGAAAGGCTAAGCATGATTTAACTTACTGTAGCCTGGTACTTAACTTTCACAAACATTACATGTCGGCACCTGTACATAATCTCTGAGGCAGCTCGAACCAGCTTAGACTGGGAAGCAAGACCCACCACAAAAGGAGGATTGGGGAGAGGAGGATGAAGAAGAATCAATGAATTATGAACCCCCTCCTTTAGTCACTACTGAACAAACAAGTTATAAATTAAATTATAAAATAAAAAAGTATTTTCACTGGATTAAATATCTTACCTGCTATCCTCATGTTTGCTTATCCAGTCTATGGCACTTCTCAGAAATAAGGTCTCCTAATGGCAAAAGAAAAAGATAAACATCATGAATTAGACAATGAATATTTCTCTTTAGATTGTTTATTTTAGAATGTATACATGAAGCCAATTAAGTATATACCATGATATGTCTAAGTATTTATTCTATGAATACCAATGATTAATGAGAAAACTCTTTATTACTGGCCACTTCTTCCACTGGGCCATTAAAAAAAATAGTTAAAAAGAGCTGCCTTGCTTGCGTCTCCCACTGGCCGTATCCTTTGCTCCCGTTGCACCCCTGCCTACACATGATAACTATTATGCTCAGAGATTACACATCCTTCAGGAGCTCACTACATTTAGATTCAAACACTGGTTAGCATATCGTATCACAGTGAAGTTTCCACAAGACTTCACACAAAAGGGGAGGCAGGGAGCCCTTTGGCTGCTCAAGAGAACTCTGTCCAACAGGTCATAAATCCTCTTTGGGCTTGCAGGGAAACTGAACTCTGCATTCACAAAACACACACACACACACACACACACACACACACACACACACACACACA